CTTCAAGTCTCCATCTAATAGCAATCACGGATAAGTCACCGTCTGGACGCTCTACCGAAAACAACAATGTGATCGAATGTCCGGTGAGCTTCTCTAATTTTATCCGAATGCAAAGTTTCTTAACTAGCGAACGCTGCTACAATTAGTAAACCTCAAGTAAAAAATTCTGGATCAAAGCAACTTTTTGCACCTTCAAATGGAAATTAAGTTAATGAAGGTGAGACATGCTTTCATTCTATCAGAGCTGCTGCATAAATCCATATCATAGATTATGACGATGGAATTATGACGACGGTGGGCAAAAAGATAAGTCTGACTGTTTGGTGATGAATGAAAACAGTTTCAGTGCAAGTATTCATAGGGTCGGTCACCACATTAGATAGCAACATATTTTTACCATCTGCAGGTTTGTTTGGAATCGAAATGCGACGCTGAATCTATGATGCAGTTCAAGCCGTGTTCGCACTCATTTTGTTTGCACTGCGTCAGCACCTATTTCAAAATGATTGCACGAGAATGCAAACTAGTCAAGCGATTCCAGTGTTTGCACACTGCATGTACAAGCTCAGCCACTGACCAACAACTCAAGGCAATACTGTCGGCCGATGAGCTGAGTTTATGTGAACGCAAAAAGTTCACCGAAAATTTGGCATCGCTAAAAGGCATTGTGGAATGTCCAGTAGGAACGTGTGGAGCGTGTTATTTTTTCGATGAGCAACAAAAACTCAATTGCTCATCACAGTGAGCATATATATGTTTATGTTCGTTCGTTTCGATAACTTTCTGTCAGAAACGATTCAATTTGATTGACCTTGAAGCAAGCGTGTTTTCATAATAATAATAGTTAAATTATGATGCCATTGTGGCCAGTTCACTTACGCTTCAGTGTATGTCGAATTTCGAACAGTGCTTAATAGATGGATGATCAAAAGGAAAATATTTTTTTCTGTTGTTATGAAGTGCCTCACTGTCGAAGTCTGACTTAAAGATTTATTTCAGTACACCAAATTTCGCTGAATGCACTTATTGCAAATATGTGTTTTGCATGGAGTGTAGAAATGCTTATCATGGTACACAACCTTGCGAAATTGACTCAGGTAACATATAGATCATCATTTTGTTAACAGACTCTCTGTGCTGATAGTTTAGTAGTAGCTTAATAGTCTGCTTTATAGCTTTGGACTTAATCAGCTAAATTTTGAGTGAAAATTTATCGTATTAGGTTTACAGCTGTACAATGAAAACGTGAAAATGATCATTTGGTAGGATGATTTCAAATAAATTAATGTATACACGGCTTATCTGTTGCTAACAAGTTCACATGTGTTTCCTTGTGTATTTCTAGAACAGCGCAGAAAACTGTTGACGAAATACGGAAACGTCGAATCAGTCGATAAGAATGGAGTATTGGCAGCTTTTGGGGGAGAAAGAAATTTGGCCAAGTACATTGCAAAGTTGAAGTGTGACGAGTGGATTGACGGAAACTGCAAGCAGTGTCCAACGTGTCATGTGAATGTTCATGTGAGAAATCGTTATCGTTCAATTTTTATAATTTAGTGTCGTTCAGTTCTGTGACTACTTATCGAACATTTTATTGGACGGTGCTATTTGCGCATCAGTTCAGTTTACAATCGAACAGAATAGTGGGCAAGATGTGGGTGATATGCTCTTTCGCACTATTGTTTTTGTTTGTTTTCTGAAAATGCACTATTTTCGTTATTCGGCTTAGCCCTCTTATTGAAGACTGATGCTCAAAAATCTCTCGCAGTGCTCAAAAATCTCTCGTTATCTCATATTAGCCATTGGAATTCGATTTTGTCCCGCATAACGTAAGATCGATTATGGTCGTCGCATAACGTAAGACTTGCAATTCGGTGCAAATTTTCATCGAACTTCTAGAGGTTTACGGGATGCCGAAATATGTGTTGTTCGATGTGTGACACCCAGTTCTGCTGGATTTGCTGCAAGACGGAATGTGACGATCCAGAACTTTGTTGGTGGTTTTGTTGTTATCGTTTGTTTTTTAACATTTCTACAATTATATGTGATGAACAATCAGTTCTTTTCATTTATATGGTTTCTAATCTGCTCTGGTGGTTCGCTCTCTTAGAACGCGCACCATCATCCAGTTTTTTCTCGATAACCACAAATTTCTAACGAATTTTCTTTCCAAATTATCATTATCGTTCAGATGACATTCATCTGAGACCCTCATAAATGCTGTCCTTGCACAGGCAGGCACTCTCCCACTCAGAGTGAGTGCTTGTCCATTCGATTCATCGTGTTTTCCAGCCAATTCCAATCATTTCCTAGCGCTGCATCTCATAACAACAGCGGAGAGCGGGAATGAGATCTTCATTTTTCATGCGTACTAAATTGAATGATGAACGTTATTCAAACGTTTTCGATCTTCTAGGTGACTACCTCGATGAGGATTACGAATGCGACGAGGAACTGCAAGCGGATGATGATGATCGACGGGAGGGCTATGAGGAGGTTCCGTGGCCATCATACCGGCCGGCTGATATTTAAGAAACGATTGCTTCATGAGGCGGTCGGAATGAGAAAGTTCATGAAATGCACTGCTAATTCGAATCATCTGAAATCACTCAAAGCCTTCTGTAGTCCAGAAGAGACCATGGAACGGAGACGATATGTAATTAAATTAACCAAAACGGGAATGATTGCGATAGATGACCGTAATTTGCATGCAGCCAGAGTTGTCGACTAACATTATTATTATTATTACTTTCCTGAATACTACCATTCTAAGAATGTTTTTCTTGTTCTCAGCGGAAATCGCAAATATTGTTATCATTGCTGTATATATGTCATTCAGCCCTACGATGCCATTATTTTCACAAACTACCATGTGAGCTTGTTAACGCTCATCTCTATTTGTTGCGTTCCAATGTTCGATCTTATTATTTGGCAAAATCTTTGCCACTGAGATGAGCATATTCACTTGATGAACTTTGATGTTTTTGCATATGACGTTTTTTTTCTTCACATAGCATTAAAATTGGTCGGAAAATCAATTGAAAATTCATTTGTGTCATGTAAAAGTGTCAAGCTCAAAATTCTATGTGCAGCAGATTATACTTTACTCGATTATGAATGTTTCCGAAGCATACGGTCATTACTTTTCACCTATAATAACTGCATCATCGAAAGCTCTGAACCGTTGGAAAATGGAATCTGAATACTCGTAAGACTTGCTGAGATCACTATTGTAGAACTGGAATCTCAAAAACCAAATGCACAGCGTTCATAATGGATAATTGTAGAATGACTGACTTCTTCACGTAGAATGCATTGATTCCTTTAACGTCAAAAACAGATGGATAGCAAATTTGAAGTTATACAAGTATTGGAAAGTGAGAAATACCTGTGACTGCAATGACAGCCATATGTTCCGCTAGCCACCCCTCATCCCTGGCAACCATTGATGCAAGTCTCAACGATATCTCGCTCAAGCAAGATATGGCACTTTCATTGCCCGTTCCATACGACCAAACTTCACGTTCCTCTGGCGTTTTTGCCGACATCGCTAACAAAGCTAGTTCAGGCACGCATGGCCACTGAAGATAAGTTCTGTTTAAATGCGAATTCCAACAAATTAAACGTGTATGAGAATTTTGAGACATGTTGTTTAACAGATCTAATAGTGTCATCTGTTGTCGCGACTAGCGCGAAAAGCCAGCATACAAAGAAGATTGTACTTAAATCAAATAGAAATCGTTGAGCAGTGGGCCGATTGTGTACTGGTGTAACGCTGGGCTTTGAGGATCCGATCTGTTCAGAAGGCGTGAGTTCGATTCTGCGTCGGTCCAAAATCTTTGACAAAGTTAGATCTTATTCAAGAGATAATCAAGAGGGCTTAGTTTCGACATTTGTAGTCCTCATAACTGGCATTCAATATAAATTCGCATCACCTCTTCGTCAATTCTCGAATCTAGAACAGTGTCATGGAAAGATGTCAAACTTATTAGGATAGAAACAAACGTTATTTTCGAGTTTGTAGATGATGGGCCGTTGAACACCTACAGAATGAACACAACGAACAAATCGTTTGTCATGTATACAATCCCATACAGCAGGTGATACTCTGAAAACTTTTGATGATTAGCGCAATTCATGCGTATGAAAGGAGTGCCAACAACAGTCTTGGATTGCAGTTTACGAATGAGACATAGTCTCTTACGTATTTCTAGCGTGAACTGAGAAGAGTATGTTGAAAATGTGATGTGTATAAGATTGACATTCACCTTGCACAAGTGACTGTTATCAATGCTACGTAGGGGCTGTCGGTTAGCTGAATAGCGTTAGCAGAGAAGCGTCCACCGATTGGACCCAACGAGAATGGCAACACATACATGACTCGACCTGCAAGCTCAGTTCCCGACAACATCAAATAGTTGATAGTTTCGTTGTGAACGCTTCACTTTCTCAAACGTTCTGATCAAATCATGCACTTATGTGAGCCCTTCCAACCACTTCAGTGAATATCAACTGTAGTAGAGGAGCAAACAAGATGAGAATCCTTAAAAATTCTCTGCAAATAAGCAGCAAAATACGATGATTTAACGAGATTTGTTGATGAGTCTTGTCGAGCAAACATACCGGCCATTGCACATGGAAAGCGCTCATCCAATTCCACACCCATTTCAAATGGAGATATCCATTTTGCAAACACCGATCGGCCATATGAGAATCTCAAAAATCGCCACTGAATGTTTTGACAACTGTGACTCGACTTGTTTTGCAGAGGCTCGAATACGTTTTCGGGATTGTCAACGGTGTCTACTGGGCTGGATCAATTTTATGTTCGTTGTCTAACCATTTAGTAGAATTGCTGCTATGGTGATACTGGTGAAGATTTCATGGATGGCGATCAAAGTAATCTAGGCTTACTTTGTTTCAGTGGAAGTAATGCAATCTGACGCAATAAACGGATCAATTGGCATCGAGTGTGCATCTCGTTGATCGGTGGTTATCAAGCAACAGTTGTTGTGTGCTTTCAACTCTTTAGCCACACCGATTTGTTTCAGTTCCCTGATCAAGTCTTCCCGTTCCATTTCTCCACCATCGCATATGTAGATCGCCCTTGGCCTCAACAACCGTGCTTTCTCAGCGATAAACTTCTGCAATGTATGCAGCTCAGCAACGGCAATGCTAAGCAGATGCTCCGACATGAAAACGAGAGATGATTGGTACCTGAGCTTTGATGGGTATAATTTTTGGATCTCCCTTAATCAGTGGGACCCCGCCGAAACCACGAATGTAAACTTTCGTGATTATTCGATATTCAGTTGAATTCTGGTGACACTGCGATATGGCTGCAGCACTCTGATCCTAGAAGTATGAATTGATCGATTGATGTGAATGTTTAGAGCGTCAATGGCAACGAAGCTAAAAATCACTCATGAAACTTGCATCAGGAATGCATGATGTTGCTGTATGAATCACGTTAGCAAAGGTGTGCAGATCCGAAACTAATCGAAACCAGACAAACCAGACAATCTCTGATCGTCTTTGCTTGAATATCATCTCAAATATGCGCAAGGCACACGACTGCATTAATTCAGCTATGAGAGATCTTAATTCTAACCCGTCCGTTTGACGGAACCAAGGCTCGCAATTCAGTCACGAAAACTGGTAAAACCAAATAATTTTCACTGTTCTCATCATGCTAGATAAAAGAGTTTAGCAAGGATACAAAGGAATATGTGTAAGAGGAATTACATCGTGTGCTTCTGTTTCCGCTTCCTTCGAGCCTGTCGGATTCTTTAGCGAAGCTTCTACAAATGTACAGTGAAATATTTCCCATCCTGATCAAAATCTACATTCACAGAATTGATATTTCACCAACATTAACAATATCCGGTGAATACAACAATGCCGGTTTGAAACTGCTCATCATTCGATCAAAAGATTTCACAGCGAATTTCTCGATTCGACTCAAAAAGTAACTATCTCAATTTCAAATTAGTGAAATCCTGGTTACAGTTATTGATTCATCCACTCATCTTAATTCAATCATCAAAAAAGCATAAATGAAAGAATTCCTCACTGCTATTCACGCGATGGAACGTCCTAGCCTTCACAGCATTCATAACTCTTACAAGTGGGCGAACTGATCTATCTATAAAATATCACTGAACCGCCCACAGCACACTTGCATTCAACAACAAATCCACTTTAGAAGCGAGCATGCTGGCCACATTGTTGAGTAATTTGCATTCATGTGCGAATTCTTCTGTCTGGCAAGTTCTTCATTTTTATGTAAATCCGACTGAGCTCATGGACAATCGTCGAACCTTATACAGATACGAACTCATAAACTTGACAAAGCATAGATATTCGTGCAGACAGCCTTGAAAGTCACAGTTAGGGATCACTAACGTATCTCATGCGACGTATCGGTTCGAATGGTTGTGATTGATTTATCACGTGAGGAATGATCGCATGCGTGTGCGACTAAAATTTCGCGAGGTAACGTTTGGCTTGATGTCATAAGTACTACATTCTATCTGCCTGTATGCTCAGATTTGATCAGTGAGGATAGCATTTTTTTGTTACCGTTGGATAGCGCAGATTCTCAGCTTCCAGAATTTTATACACATGGTCGAGGGATAATGCCTAGATCAAAAGATATGGCCTAATCTTTAACAGTATATCATTTATCTGAGCTTTAAATTTTAACTGCATTACCCAAGTTAGAGGTGACATTTGGTTCGATTACCCAAGTTTGAGGTGACATATGGCATGGTTACCCAAGATTTAGGTGACATTTGGTTCGATTTGGTATATCACTTATCTGATTGTGTTACCTCAAACTTGGGCAATCCAACCGAATTCTACCTCAAATTTGGGTAATCGAACCAAATGTTACCTCAATCTTGAAGACGATGCACTTAGTTGATGCACGTATGGAGATTATTATTATCATCATCGGTGTTACCATTTTAATATTAATGTTTATCACTTATTCCAGTTATGTCAGCTACATGCCATGTGAATGTACTCATCATAGTGTGATGAATGTTTTTTGTTATGTTCAATTAAAATTTTTGATATCGATGAACCATATCAACATATATTTTATGTCATTCCGTGAAACAGTCAAAAAACATCAACGAAGTTCAACATAATATCTATGAAGCAACGATAAATGAATCACAGCCATCCAAAAGAACAAACAAGGATTTCACATCAAGTCGACGATAGACGTTTGCCAAATTCGAAAAATTCGTCGCTGATCGCCTTGGGAAAGTCAGAATTTCCAATGATTGCGTCCAAAGTTTTTCGAACAATTCTCAGTTCATTAACCCAAAACGGTTTCGGCGTTGCGACCAAATCATCCCAGTCTACTTTTATTCCCTGAAAATCATGACTGTTGCGATTCTCATGACATGCTTTCATGAGCTACGACAACTTTTCTATATGTATAAATCCAAAAATCATTGACAGATCGGGTTGTCCCAATGTGAAACATAGGAAAAACAGTGTGACTTGTAGGCTGAAAATTGGACACTTTAGAATCTTTTCTAAAAACAGTTTCGACTGTTTTTTCGGACAATGAAGAAAGAAAACTTTACGGGCAACTAACGGTAAGATTTATTGAGTTCAAACGAGGAACATAGCCAAGGAATGTTTTGGTAGCAGTGTCCTCGGCGGGTTTGCTGATGCGATGCACAATCCACTGCAGAATACGTATGTTTTCACCGAATCCAGGCCATAGAAATTTATTCTCGGCGTTTTCTTTGAATAGATTCAAGAAGAAAACTTTCGGTAGTTGACTGGATGAAGGATCCTGAAAAGGTGTAATAGTTTTCATTCAAGAACGATATGTAATCATTTCGTATCTTTGCAGCTGTCTGCGCTGCAGGATCGAATGAGTGCAAATGTGTAATTGGCTAGGTTTGAATGACGAATGGGAAGATGGGCACCTTTTTAGCGGTTTTATCGAAACTTAGCCAATGTTGAATATATTCGCCAAGTGGATAACCAATGTAACGAGTCATGCCCATTGGATCAAATCTTGTTTCGTCACCTGCAAGCGAATACCCTAAGTGAGATAGCGTCTAACAAGCAACTTTTAAAGTAACTGCGATTTTAGAAGATGAAGGGCACATGAATGTTAGCATTCCGATGTCAAGAAACTAAGTAACATCTAATAAAAAATCATATCGTTTCAGATTTCTTGAAAGCCCCCATAACATGCACAAAGGTGAATATTGCGTTATTCCGAGAGGAGCGTTAGCAACACATGGATTTAACATGAACGTTAAACTAACGCTCGCTGACAGCTGACCTTTTCCATCGCATTTACAGTCAAAACGTAGAGTTGACGCATGAAATACTGCTTGTTGCCAGCCGAAAGATTCAAAAATAAGTGGCACACCTGCTCGACGTCGTGTACAAAAAACAATCGCACTCAGTGGAACTCCTTCGTCTGAATCCCATTTCGAGTGCATCGCCGGACAGTCACTGCATCGAACTGCAGCGGATGCTTGTGGATGCTGAAGATTGCTGCAAGCACAACACTCTCATCAATTAGAAAAGGAATACATTGGAAGCAACGCGGTGAAAATGATGCAAAAGTTGAAGATGGAACGTCGTCAGTTTCGAGTGATTAGTGGCAATTATTGACAATAGAAATATCTCATTGATACGGCTTGAATTTAGAATTTGAATTCGCAAATATTCAATGGTTCGAGCAAGCACATGGGCACTGAGGATGATTTATTTGTATGTGATGAAAGGATTTGTTTGCCTCATGCAGTTGGACGGGCGAACGGATTCTCGATTCATACGGTGGTCAGAACGATCAAATGGAACTTTCAATGGATGGTTCAGTTTTGATCTCTTGGAAATAATGCTCGTTAGATGAGCGACGATCCAACTTAATGTTTAGGGCTGATTCAAGTGACTAACCTTTGTGCGTTATCATTCAACGGCTGTCCATTCCAATCGTAACTCACTTCACCTTGAACGCGGTTAGAATCGGATGAATTCCAAATCGGCTGACCATTTGACGTGTATCCGACATTCGTGAAAATCGTATCTTTGGTTAGGAACTCTTTTCCAGTAGAATTCTTGCTGAATTAAAAACGCCTTCAATCGATATTATAAAGCTTTTTTGAAAGAAATGATTCAGAAATATCCTCGTGATTTTCTTCATTAGTGATGATATGCTATAGACTTATTGAAAGACTGCTGTGATTTTGCGGGTTTTGGTGAAGTTTCTGCTATTGTTTAACAACTGAAGATAACTGACACTGGCGTGAATCCTTTCACATGCTGATAGAACCCCTTGAGAGGATTCAGCGCGTACAATCGACCATCTTTTCCGATTTTCAGCCATGCCACGTCCTTTCCTACCACTTTGATCTTCAACAATATTATAGTTTCTCGATCTGTTTTCGTTAGTTATCCGATTCAAGTAATAAAAAACAATTAGTTATCCGCAGAAATTGGAGAGAATGTTCCTCTAAGTCACTGTTCTCACGTTCGAGTGCTTCATTACTTCTTTTGATGATCTGGTAGGCCGTCAGTATCACCCCCC